TATTAAGCACTGAAATTTTACTGGTCAATAAAATAAAAAAAACTAGGATTTTAAATATTTCAAAATAACTGGGATTTTATTAAGCACTGAAATTTTACTGTTCAATAAAATAAAAAAAAAACCTGGATTTTAGTATTTTAAATTTTTTCTGGGATTTTATTCAATAGTAAAATTTCATTGTTTAATAAAAAAAAACTGGGATTTTAAATACTTCAAAATAATTGGGATTTTATTAAACAGTGAAATTTCAATCATACTTATTATAAAACGCAGGTTGTGTGTCTGTGTGTGTGTCTGTACGTTTATCTATTGGATAGGATTTCCTACATTTTTCAACCGATTTCAACAAAACTTCACAGGACTACGTAAAATTATGTTGTGGTGGTTCTGACAGTGCCAAAAATTGGAAAAACACAATTGTTTTTGCATGAAATCAATTTGAAAACACGATTAAGAGGCATTAATGAAAGGGGGACAACTCATATCGAGTTATACTTATAAAACCCAGGTTGCTTGTTTGTGTGTGTGTTCCTTTATATATGGGATTGGATTTCCTACATTTTTCAACTGATTTCAACAAAACTTCAATTTTTTTTTGGCAGGTAGTGTTTCTTATTGTCTTGCACACATTTTTTTCTTTATTTTTACATTCAGAATGCTTTAAAAATTCCATTTACAAGACAATTGTTTATAATAAAATTCTATTCAATCGGTAGACTCAAAATGATTGAAAACAATGTTTTTATTTGAGTTTGGGTTTGACCAATTCGTAAAAAAAAAAAGAAAAAACTAATTAAGACATGCGTGTTTGTCAACCATAAACAATAATTTTTGTCAATTTTATTTTTCAGTCTTTATGATGGTGGATACTTGATCTATCTCTTACTGTTACATCCCCGGGCAACGCCAGGCACTATTGCTAGTGTTTAATAAAATAAAAAAAACAGGGATTTTAAATATTTCAAAATAACTGGGATTTTATTAAGCACTGAAATTTTACTGGTCAATAAAATAAAAAAAAAACTGGGATTTTAAATATTTCAAAATAACTAGGATTTTATTAAACAGTGAAATTTCACTGTTTAATAAAATAAAAAAAAATGAGATCTTAAATATTACAAAACAACTGGGATTTTATTAAGCACTGAAATTTTACTGTTCAATAAAATAAAAAAAAAACCAAGATTTTGATATTTTAATTTTTTTCTGGGATTTTATTCAATAGTAAAATTTCATTGTTTAATAAAATAAAAAAACCCTGGATTTTAAATATTTCAAAATAACTGGGATTTTATTAAGCACTGCAATTTCACTTTTTAATAAAATAAAAAAAACTAGGATTTTAATATTTTAAATTTTTTCTGGGATTGTATTCAATAGTAAAATTTCATTGTTTAATAAAATAAAAAACAGTGATTTTAAATATTTCAAAATAACTGGAATTTTATTAAGCACTGAAATTTTACTGTTCAATAAATTAAAATAAATCTGGATTTGAATATTTTAAATTTTTCCTGGGATTTTATTCAATAGTAAAATTTCATTGTTTAATAAAATAAAAAACATGAATTTTAAATATTTCAAAATAACTAGGATTTTATTAAGTACTGAAATTTTGCTGTTCAATAAAATAAAAATAAAAACTAGATTTTAATATTTTAAATTTTTCCTGGGATTTTATTCAATAGTAAAATTTCATTGTTTAATAAAATAAAAAACATGGATTTTAAATATTTCAAAATAACTAGGATTTTATTAAGCACTGAAATTTTACTGTTCAATAAAATAAAAAAACCCTAGATTTTAATATTTTAAATTTTTTCTGGGATTTTATTCAATAGTAAAATTTCATTGTTTAATAAAATAAAAAAAACTAGGATTTTAAATATTTCAAAATAACTAGGATTTTTATTAAGCACTGAAATTTTACTGTTTAATAAAATAAAAAAAACTAGGATTTTTAATATTTTAAATTTTTTTCTGGAATTGTATTCAATAGTAAAATTTCATTGTTTAATAAAATAAAAAACATGGATTTTAAATATTTCAAAATAACTGGGATTTTATTAAGTACTGAAATTTTGCTGTTCAATAAAATACAAATAAAAACTACATTTTAATATTTTAAATTTTTCCTGGAATTTTATTCAATAGTAAAATTTCATTGTTTAATAAAATAAAAAACATGGATTTTAAATATTTCAAAATAACTAGGATTTTATTAAGCACTGAAATTTTACTGTTCAATAAAATAAAAAACCCTAGATTTTAATATTTTAAATTTTTTCTATTTTTTTCAATATTTTCATTGTTTTAAAAAAAAAACCCTGATTTTAAATATTTCAAAATTTTTTTCATTAGTAAAATTTCACTTTTTGTTTAAAAAACTAGGATTTTTAAAAAATTTTTCATGGATTTTAAATATTGTTTTAAAAATAAAAACATGGATTTTTTATTTCAAAATAGCACTGACTGAAATTTTACTGTTCAATAAAATAAAAAAAACTAGATTTTAATATTTTAAATTTTTTCTGGGATTTTATTCAATAGTAAAATTTCATTGTTTAATAAAATAAAAAAAACTTGGATTTTAAATATTTCAAAATAACTGGGATTTTATTAAGCACTGAAATTTTACTGTTCAATAAAATAAAAAAAAAGCCAGGATTTTAATATTTTAAATTTTTTCTGGGATTTTATTCAATAGTAAAATTTCATTGTTTAATAAAAAAAAAAACTTTGATTTCAAATATTTCAAAATAACTGGGATTTTATTAAGCACTGAAATTTTACTGTTCAATAAATTAAAAAAAAATCCTAGATGTTAAATATTTCAAAATAACTGGGATTTTATTAAACAGTGAAATTTCACTGTTTAATAAAATAAAAAAAAAACTGGATTTTAATATTTTAAATTTTTTCTTGGATTTTATTAAGCACTGAAATTTTACTGTTTAATAAAATAAAAAAAGGCATTTTAAATATTTCAAAATAACTGGGATTTTGTTAAGCACTGAAATTTCACTGTTTAATAACATAAAAAAACAGATTTTATGTATTTTAAAATTAACTGGGATTTTATTAAACAGAGAAATTTCACTGTTTAATAAAATAAAAACATGGATAGCAACTGAAACATATGCATCCACTAAAAATAATATTTATGGTATTAAGAAATATATATATATATATATATATATATATATATATATATATATATATATATATATAGAGAGAGAGAGAGAGAGAGAGAGAGAGAGAGGCACAGCTGTATTACCCAATAAATATAAGACTACATTCTTGGGCCACACCCTTTGCCCATCCTTACACTAAAACTGGCAGCTATTCCATCCATAGAGTTAATCGTGCTTCATATAATCTCTGCCATATGTGCGTGCAATAGACAGTCACCATCAACCTGGCCTTACAATTACTCTTTTTCCCCCCAATCTGAATCCATCAGATTAAAAAAAATATTAGTTTAACTTGTGTTGTGCCAATGTTATAAATGGTGAGTACTTTTGTGTCTTTAAAATTAGCATTCAAAATTGTGATCTTCGGCTGGAATCAAACACTGACCTGGAAAGTAAACCTACTGGCAATGCATAAATATATCAATTGTGAAGCAGTTGTATATCTACCTGTCCATCTATAAGTACATCACATACACATGCACATATACATGGTCTTATTGTAGCAAAAATAAAGTAAATGGTCCAAAAATTCACAGAGCTACATGTCCAAATAGTTACAGGTCCACTCTCCCAGCATGTTTGCTCTTATCTTGTTCACTGCCACTGGCTATGTGTTTTGAAGCCAAGCACACTAATCCATAAGCAGCACATTTGGATTATTCCCTCAACCCCATAGGCAACACATCCGGGCTATTCCATCAAATGGTTTTGTTATAATTAACAGAATGAGTCTGGCATAGTTTTTCTTTGCATCATGGAAGGTAAGTGAAATTATTCTGCATACACACACACACACATATATATATTTTTTCAGTATCTGTCTATATTTCTGAGATGAGGTATTATGTACACTATTTACATTATTCAGACTATTATCCTCATCTTTGTCACCATATTTATTACAACGTTTTGGCCCTTCAGTATCTGTCTATATTTCTGAGATGAGGTATTATGTACACTATTTACATTATTTGGACTATTGTCCTCATCTTTGTCACCATATTTATTACAACATTTTGGCCCTTCAGTATCTTTCTATATTTCTTAGATGAGGTATTATGTACACTATTTACATTATTCAGACTATTATCCTCATCTTTGTCACCATATTTATTACAACGTTTTGGCCCTTCAGTATCTGTCTATATTTCTGAGATGAGGTATTATGTACACTATTTACATTATTTTGACTATTGTCCTCATCTTTGTTGCCATATTTATCACGTTTCGGCCCTTCAGTATCTTTCTATATTTCTGAAATGAGGTATTATGTACACTATTTACATTATTTTGACTATTGTCCTCATCTTTGTTGCCATATTTATCACGTTTCTGGCCTTCAGTATCTTTCTATATTTCTGAGATGAGGTATTATGTACAATTTACATTACTTTTTGTCCTCATTTTGTATTCTTCAATGTTTTGGCCCTTCAGTATCTTCAGGTGGTTGGAATGTCAAACTGAACCCTTTATTTTGTTCACTGGGGTTTGGAACTAGAACAGTCTAACCCAGTGTTTGAAATAAAGGGTTCAGTTTGACATTCCAACTAGCTGAAGAAGGCTGGAGTGTACAATGGTCGAAACGTTGTAGTAAATATGGCTACAAAGATATATATATTTATGAATAAAAATGACAATAGGAAAACTAGTAATTGCTGACGCGTTTCGTCCACTGTGAACTTTTTCAAATCGAAATACGAAATGAATATAATTTAACAAGTTAACTAATAAAAACAAAAACAGAATGTTACTAGCAACTGGAATGTAGAAAAACGCTATTTTCATATTGTTAACTGAAAATAACGTCAGTATATGTCACGTGTGGAGAATATTGTCATTATATCTGTGTTGATGTATTTCTTTTGATTTTATGAATCTGTTGCATACATTTGTTTGTGAGAGCAGTAATTTTGTTAAGAAAGGTGAAATGGGGCGTAGATTAATATTTGGGTACTGTTCTATGGTGGCACTTTCTAGATATATATATATATATATATATATATATATATATATATATATATATTACATGAATCATTCATACAAAAATAGATTAGTGAAGTTAATGATAATAACAGATACAAAAGATTAGATGTGAATTGAAATATGTTTTTTAGAAATGTGTTATTGTTAACTGTAAGAAATTCTGGAGCGTGCGGTCACAATGCTAAGGTTGAATTTTTTGAAAATTTAAAAAGAGTGTGCGTATATTTTACTAATATGGTAATTGGAGAATTTTTTTTCGTTGTTTTTTTTTTTCAGTTGATGTGGCATGAACTAAATTGTTCAATAAATAGAGCAATGTCGCAGCTATTATCCCAGAAGTTGCACGTCGGATCAGTTCTTTTTAAATCAAGAACTGATCCGACATTTCTAAAAAACATTTCAATTCACATCTAATCTTTCATGTCCCGTTCTTACCTGGGTGTATTTAAAAAAAAAAAATAATCAATTTCTATGCCTGATGATGTCTGTATGAACAGATTAAAGTACTAGCAAAAAAAGACCTTGTACAAGTTGAATTTATTAAAAACAGGGATCACAACATTCATCTAGAGGTTCGTGGGTTAATGTAATTTTAATAAATTTGTTTGCAAAGATGTATTCTCACCATTTATATCATTAACTTCACTAATCTGTTTTGTATGAATGATTCATGTAATATAAATTGAACTGCACCACATATATATATATATATATATATATATATATATATATATATATATATATATATATAATTGTATATTTAGGCAGCAATCCTTCTTTCATACATGCTTCATTAAAGATCAAAGGTACTGTGATTAAGCTTTTTATTTAATTTTTCTTGTGTTTGAGCTAGTGTTTTCTTTTCTGGACACAGAGTGTGTAGAAATTGTCTGAATGTTCTGGGTTCAGAAAAGAAAACACTTGTTTGAACACAAGAAAAATTAAATAAAAAGCTTAATCGCAGTATAAATTTTTTTATATATCAAGAATAATTTTAAAGGTAAAAAGTATGACAAGGTAGAAAAAGTTTTTGCATAACATCTTTCGTCTTGCAGGACTTCATCAGACTAAATTTATGTTTATGTTGATGCAACTACACATGGGCACAGACAAGAGACACTGGGAATTTTAAATTTAAAAATAATTGTTTTTTTAATATGTGTTTTGGGTATATAATCAAGCCAATTTCATTTAGATTCTTCTTCTTTTTGTTTACAATATATTTTGATTTGTTGGTATTGTATCTTTAAAGAAGGTTACAAAAAGACAAAGGTGGTACTCAAGTGAAAGGAACAGCAACACGGGCTTAGATGAAAGAAAGAGAGGTTTATTGTAAAAGAGAATACACTACTGAAAGACAGGGAATTGGTTAGCAGGCTAGTAATTCCTGAAGCAAGGATGTCTACCAACTAACCCACACAGTCAGATGTGGCACAAGGCCGAATTTAATGTGGGGTATCTGAGCCTGTAGGCTAGGCCAAAAATTCCCTGTATAAAATGGGGTCTGGTAGATGTTTCCTGAGAGGAGACATGCCCTTTGACATAGTCTTATCTGAAGATCCTCCTTTCCCAGAGGCAGAGAGTTTGACAGGCACAGCTAGAGGTGTATCTCCAACTTTAGACTAATTCCTGAATCAAGTCCGCCAGGTATATCCTGTGCTCACTATATATATATATCTACCAATATAGTCAGTCCACATATGTGATACAGAGTGTGGGACATTCCATTATAACAGTTGGGTTTGTCAGGAAGGACTGCTTTTTTACTTTTAGATATTTTATGAGCCTTTTGTTTTGCATTAATATGAAATAGTTAAGGTATTGGAGGAGCTTGAAAGTATTTTCAAAGTATTTCTCTTCTTCATGTAAATACTGAGAGGATGTTGTTGTTGAAGATCAGAAACAGTGTAGGTCCGAGAATAGAAAGAGCCCTGGGGGACCCCCACATTAGTACAAAATGAACTGGAAGCATACCTGTTCAACATGACCTTCATTACACGATTTGTTAGGAATGATTGGATTAAACCAAATTGGATTAAGCTGACACCAAAGCCCTTGAGCATGTGGAGAAGGCCGGCCTGCCTGCCAAATCCTGTCAAATGCCTTTGAGATACCTTAAGCCACAGCCCAAGCTTTGCTATTCTTATCTAAAACTTGATAGACTAATTCAATGATGGCAGATTGATGGTAGAAATGGTGAAATGGAAGCCATATTGTTTGTCCAAAAGGAGGTTGTCTAAAGTAAGATGCTTAATCAATTTGGCATTGATTAGAACTTTAAGTACTTTGTCAAAAAGAGGTAAGAGACTCATAGGGCAATAATTAGCAGGGTCAGAAGGTACCCCAGTGTTCTTACAAAAAGGAAATAATGGACTTTCAACAAGCTGGAAAGCAAGAAGCAGCAAAGCAAAGCAGCAGTTGTTATATTCCATGCTAAGGGAATAAATACTTAACACCAGGTGGATAATAGAAGAAAGGTTTATTGTACACAACCAGTACAATATTAAATACGGTACAGTTATACACAAAGGTCAATCTAGTAGTGAGTGCCACTAACTGGAAGGTCAGATGTGCTTGCGTCGTCTCTCTCTCGCAACTCTTCCCCAAGTCTCTTGTAGACTGTTGACTTTATAGGTATATACTACCTATAGTGCAATCATTCATGGGGGTGGCTGGTTATTCCATTACATCAGTTGTAAAGTTTGGTGAGAACAGGAGCCAGTTCTGGAGCACATTACTTTAGGACAGCAGCAAGGATACTGTCAATTCAGCATGTCTTGTGGGGATTTAACTTAGAAATGATAGCAGGAACCAAGGATGGAGTTATGTGTATATCACTCAGTAGAGCCTCTGTTATAGCAAGAAAATCTGGCAGAGATATTCTGGATGAGTTGAGAATGGAGTCGGAAGAGAACTTCCAGTCAAGTCACTGATTTATCTGCAGTGGATATCAATACTTCAAATTAATTGAAGAAAGGAGGGAGGAAGGATTTGCTATTGTTCAGCTTCTTTTCCTTTTCTCCTTTCTTCCTTTTCTTCTTTCTTTCTTTTCTTCTTGTCTTCCTTCCCATTTCCCCTCTCTCTTTATTTTCCCAATTCTTTTTCTTCTTTTTGCTCATTTTCTTTGTGTTTTTTCTTGATTAAATTCCATTTTTCTCTCTCATTACATTTTTTAACAATTCTTTTGCTAATAATTATCTTTTATTCGTCTTTCTCATTCTTTTTTTCCCCTCCTGTCTTTTCCCACTTTTTCTCCTTCTTTTAATTCTATCTTTTATTCCTTTCTTTTTCATGCTGTGCTTTTTATTCAGTCAGTCAGTTATGTGTCATGCGTGATACATGCTTAAATGATCATGTATCTTTTGATACATGACTGATGAGGCAGATTTTTTCCTGCAGTAGGTTGCCATTTCTTTCTGCGGTAGACCAGTTGCCATCCAAGGCTACAGAACCTGGCCTTTCCTGCTATTTACCCATAGCTAAGGGGAGAAGAGGAAGATTCATACCTTTCCCAAGGGTATTAGCACATAAGTGAATGTAATGGATTTGAGTCACTATCCATTACTCCACCGTGCCTCCTCTGTGCTTTTTATTAACCATTCAAAATCCCCATTACCATCTTCTTCCATTTTCATTCATCAGCTCCATTTTCTTTCTGTGATGGATTTCCTGTCAATGACAATATTTGAAATAAAAGAAGTATTTCAAGTGTTCATTTCTTGTATAGATAGACCCTTTCAACCATACATTTTTTGTTCCTACTCATCTACCCCTATTTGGCCCTGTGCCACATTCAGGGAAATTTAGTAAATCTCCTCCCTCTCACTCTATGCCTCATGACCTCTCTTTCTACTTCTTTCAGTGAAAGCACCCCCTCCCCACAACAAACACCCACCCACCAGTGTTTCTCCTTTTTTTTTTTCAAATACCTTTTTGCTTACATAATACTGATGTCAAAACATCTGTTGCTGGCTACTGACAATAATTCTGGGAAGATGATGATGATGAAAAAGAAGATGATGATGAAGAAGAAGATGATGATGATGATGATGAAGAAGAAGAAGATGATGATGATGATGATGATGATGATGATGATGATGATGATGAGGATTTCAGAGTTGTTGCTGCTGCTGCCATATGCAGCTGCTCAGTGAAATAAATTCTTTTAGTAGGACTATAGCTGTAGAAAAAGTATCCTGAATAATATATTTGTTTTAGTGGCACATTGACTGTTATATAATGGTCATATGAGCTCAGGGAGATTTTAAAAGGGGATCATGACTGTAATCAATTTTCTTCTTCTATGTGTCATGTGCCTTCAAGACACTGTCAATCAAGGCCCTCCACAATTTCCTGTCCTTTATAGATCTTAGTAAATTTTATCTTTTTCCTATCTCTCCAAATTCTGGTTCTGTCAACTATTTACACAAACTTGTTAGGTAGGTTATGCATTGTTTCCCACTCTGGGATTCACTATGTCCGTTGAATAATCATCTTCTCATTATGGATAGGAATTTTGCTTAATTAATTCATACATAATGGTCAGGCACAGCAAAAAATATATAATGGCCATATTGGGTCAAATATAATGGTCATATAGAGCTAAAAATATGAACCGGTTATGTTGGGCTAAACATATATATTGGTTACATAGGGTCAAAAATACATAATGATCATGTTTATAATGGTTACATGAGGCCAAAAAATAAATTATAGTCATGTAAGGATAAAAATATATAATTGTTGCATAGGGCCAAAAATACATAATAGTCGTGTAAGGCTAAAATATATAGTTACATGAGGCCAAAAAATAAATTATAGTCATGTAAGGCTAAAAATATATAATTCTTGCATAGGGCCAAAAATACATAAGATTCAATCTGAGAACAGTGTAGAGGATTTGGAAAGAATTGGATAATATATCCAGTCAATATTATGGTGTTTGAAGTGATCACTAGTGATGGCAATGTTATACCTCCATTCATCTTCCCACAGACTCAACATGGAGGCCTACATCAAGTACCATGTGGAGGTAGTGCTGCCCCAGGTTGAGACGATGACTGCTGGGAGACCCTATAAATGGCAACAGGAATCTGCACCATGTCATACAAGCAAAGCAAGAGAACCCAGTCATGGTTGTCAGACAATTTCTCCAGCCACATCACCCCTTACATTTGGCCACCTAACTCAACAGACTGCAACCCTCTTGATAATTATGTGTGAAGTGCAGTTGAGAAAGAGACCAACAAACTTCATGTAATACCAAAGATAAAATGAAGGCAAGGATTATGACAGCATTCACCAACTTAAAGAAGGAGACTGTCCAGAAGAGATGCAGGAGATTCCAAAGTTGTATGTAGGCCATGATAGAAACCAATGGCCATTTTATTGAATAAATTTCCTCTTTAGTATTTCAAGATATTTTTGTGTAATTTTGGTTTGGTTTGTTTTGTTTTGTCTTATGGCATATCAACACCTCAATGGGTTATTTAAAAAAAATTTTTATTGATGGGAATATTTTTTCAAAAATGTATTGCTGGTAAAATTTTTTTTCAAAAATGTATTGCTGCTAATAATTTTTACAAAGTATTTCTGGTATTAAAACCTATTTTTACACTTTCATAGTGTTTTGACCCCAGTTTGGGGGTTAACTATTTACCCATACCTGGGACTCTAACAGGTGCTACCACCCAGGTCAGGGTGGACCTGGGAACACCAGCAATTAAGAGGTGGTTCCATGCTCCTCAAAACCTCCTGATCAGAGGCCTTGCTGTTGAACGTAGTTTATTGTCTTACATAGGAAGGGGATGTAGTTTAGCATCATACCAGGACAGGTGTAATTTTGGTAAATATATCTGTTAAAATGAGATGTCATTGTTATTTTCATTTTTTCATAATTTAGACGACAATTTATCCATCGCACCTTGTATATCTGTTAAAATAAGATGCCAATGTTATTTTCATTTTTGTGTCATTTAGACGACAATTTATCCATCGCACCCTGTATATCTGTTAAAATGAGATGACAGTGTTATTTTCATTGTTGTGTTATTTAGACGACAATTTATACATCGCACCTTGTATATCTAAAATAAGATGCCAATGTTATTTTTATTTTTGTATCATTTAGACGACAATTTATCCATCGCACCCTGTATATCTGTTAAAATGAGATGCCAGTGTTATTTTCATTTTTGCGTCATTTAGACGACAATTTATCTGTCGGACCCTGTATATCTGTTAAAATGAGATGTCAGTGCTATTTTCATTTTGGCATGATTTATACGACAATTTATCCATCGCACCTTGTATATAAGACGGTTGTTGTAGTGCTAAAAGTATGTATAAAATGAAGGGCTAATATACATAATGGTGTTGTAGGACCAAACTAGTATAATGCCCATGTCAGACTAAAAATATATAATGGTCATGTAGGGTCAAAAATATATTATAGTCATCTTGGATTAATCTTGATAGTTATTTAGGGCCAAGTAGCTACAACAATCATTGATGGCTATAGACATAATTACCTGTAATGGGAATGATATGTAAAGGTTGGGTAAGTTTTAAAAATATAATGATCATATTGTGGATAACATATACAGGGTGTGACAGAAATACCTCCCACATATAGCTGCCAGAAATACCTCCTACATATAGCTGCCAGAAATACCTCCCACATATAGCTGCCAGAAATACCTCCCACATATAGCTGCCAGAAATACCTCCTACATAATGTTATGACATTGGTGGCAATGTGTCTTTGTCTAGCTAATGTCTTACCATTATGTGGAAAGTATTTCTGGCAGGTATATGTGGGTGGTATTTCTGCAGCACCCTGTATAATGGTCATGTATGTTCAAATTTAAGTAGATAGCAAAAGGGAGGTTAAGATCCAAAAGAATCATAAGTCCACGGTCATAATTTCAAGGGCCAGAAATCAGTCTTGTAAGTTCAATGTTAAAAAATACCAGGGGTTTGAATCAAAAGAGGGTCAACAATTCAAATCACATCTTGCAACCCACAACTACCTCTCCACCCACAAAGAGCCAATGAATTCTCTGGTCTAAAGTAATGTTCTTTTATTGGCATAAGAAAGGCTGTGTATTGTCAAGACTGGCAGGGAAGTAAAAACAATTACCATATTCCAAGGCTGACTAAAGTTGCCTCAATCTTGATTCTAATTTTATTTTTCAACAGATTGCACAAAGAGCACAAATTTCTTTTCCAGACCTGTCTATATTTCTGAGATGAGGTATTATGTACACTATTTACATTATTCAGACTATTGTCCTCATCTTTGTCGCCATATTTATTACAACGTTTCAGTCGTTCAGTATCTGTCTATATTTATGAGATGAGGTATTATGTACACTATTTATATTATTCAGACTATTGTCCTCATCCTTATTGCCATATTTATTACAATGTTTCGGCCTTTCAGTATCTGTCTCTATTTATTGAGACTATTGTCCTCATTTTGTTGCTGAATAATTTACATTCATCTCAGAACTAGAGACAGATACTGAATTTTCGTAAAACATTGTAATAATATGGTAAGGATGAGGACAATAGTCTGAATAATTAATAATAATAATAATTATTATGATTTTAATTATTATTGTTATTATTTTAATTATCATTATTATTATTATATTAATTATTATCCATTTTATTATAATTATTATTATATAATTATTATTATTATTATTGTTGTCATCATCATCATCATTCGATTTCTGCTATGGACACACTACCTACCAAGTCTGCGGAAAGACCTAAGGCAGGTCGTGGTGTGTTGTTATGGCCACATTTCATGTTAATTTTTTTTTTTTTTTTTTTTTTATCTCCGATGAAGTTGCTAGCGTTACATAGACAAAGTTCTCCTTAGTGTGTGTGCTGTACTTAATAAGACAATTTTCTGTATGTCTCTTAAGCTGGGTTTCCAGGATTCTTTCAATGTGTTGTTTTTGTTCCATTTTTATAATTCCAAGTGCACCTATTACCACTGGTATTATTCTTGTTTTCAATTTCCACATTTTTCTTTTTTTCCAGGTCTTTTGTATTTTGATAGTTTTTCAAAAATTTGCTATGTTACAATCCTGGACAAGCCATATCAATTAGGTATTATTATTCGCAGAGGAGAGTCAAGGTTTTATGGCTTCAGCTACACTTTTTCTATTACAGCAGCTTGTCCTCCAAGCTACATCCTCCATTCTTCAATTCCTCCAGCTAAACCTCCAAAAGTTCAGTCCAGTTCATTCC